ACCCAGCAACCTCGCAGTCCCCGCCCCCGGGGCTGGGGGAGCCGAGGGTGTTTCCTGCGCGCTGGGGAGGTTTGACTAGTTCGGGTGACGGGCTCTGCCCAGTGGGCCATGGCAGTGTTCAGGCAGCTGCTGGTGCTGATGTGATGGAGGAAGGAGGGGGGGTCTCCTGAGACCCGTTGTAGCTGACGTGCTACGTCTGTTCTGTGGTTCCCTCCCCCTCCGTGCCCCTCCCCATCCCCTTCCGAGGGTGTTTCCTGCGCGCTGGGGAGGTTTGACTAGTTCGGGTGACGGGCTCTGCCCAGTGGGCCATGGCAGTGTTCAGGCAGCTGCTGGTGCTGATGTGATGGAGGAAGGAGGGGGGGTCTCCTGAGACCCGTTGTAGCTGACGTGCTACGTCTGTTCTGTGGTTCCCTCCCCCTCCGTGCCCCTCCCCATCCCCTTCCAAAAAGGACAAAGCTGCTCTGCCGCGCGAGTGGCTGTGTTCCGGCCCCGGTGGGAGGGCTCGAATGTGATGGGCCGACTCGTCCGGTCCTCTTGTCTCTCTCCACGTCTTGGTGGGGCGGGTTGGTGGGTGGTGCCTCCCTACGGCCGTGCGGGGTCCAGGGTCCGTCCCCTGCGGGGTGACGAGCTGTCCCTGCGGGGTGGCTGTGCCAGGGAGCCGGCCCAGGTGCCCGGTGTGGTAAGGGGGCTCTGTGGGTCTCCCCGTCCCCTCCCCCCGGTGTAACTGTCCCCCTCGCCCCATGGCAGCACCGTGCGGAGGCCGTGGTGCCGGGGCGCATGGCTCAGATGATCCAGTTCATCCAGCAGCGAGACTTCGAGGGCTTTGGCCGGCTGACCATGCAGGACAGCAACCAGTTCCACGCCACCTGCCTGGACACCTTCTCCCCCATCTTCTACCTCAGCGACGTCTCCCGGCGCATCATCGCCCTGGCCCACCGCTTCAACGCGCACCACGGCAGAACCAAGGTGGGCTCGGGCGGGCAGTGGGGAGCCCTGCGGTCGAAGCGGTGCCTGTCCACTCGGAACGGGCCTGCATTGGCAGAGCCC